CCAGGAGTGAGTGATGCCTGAGCACTGAGCCAGAAGGGCGCTCTGAGCACTGAGGGGTATAGCCCCCCACAAAAAAATGAAACATAACAAGCGAAAAGGAATAGTTGCTTCAGAGAAGAAAAGGGAGGGACTGGGAACATTTTTTAAAGGCAGAAAGAAGACCTATTTTTCCACTCCAGGCCCGTAAGTGCTGTTTGAAGTGTTTGCCTTTTGCATGAATCACTCATTTAAAAAAAGGAAATAAAAAAAAGGACGACAAGAATGAGTAAGAAACAAAAGTCGGGGCTCTGTGACCTCACCTGCACACACCCGAGCCTCAGCCAGCTGCCGCCTCCAGCCCGGCCTGTGTCCCTGCCTCTAACTTGTTCCCTAGGAAGGTTTCCCAGGGAAGGCAGGCAGCTTCTTTAAGGACAGTCGAACGATTTGTATACGGACTGCCAGAGATGTGGCTGGCAGTGGAGTGCTTACCTTCCCTGTGTGAGACCCCGAGTTTAATCCCCCACACCACACACACATACACACACACACACACACACACACACACTTGCATAATCTTATTTTAAGTCAAAGCACAATTGCTGATCAATTATGTTAGTTCAAAGCTAATCTCTACTGTTGTCAAACCAAAATGCACTCCATTCTTGGGGCCAGAGTGATGGCGCAGCACAGCGAGTAGGGCATTAGCTTGGCATGCGGCCAACCTGAGTTCAATCCCTGGCATCCCATAGGGTCTCCCAAGCTTTGTCAGGAATGATTCCTGAGTTCAGAGTCAGGAGTAAGCCCTGAGCACCGCTGGGTGTGGCCCAAAACACAAAACAAATAAATAATTTTTAAGAAAAAAAAATTCCACTCTTTTTTATTGGTGGGTGGGAAGACTTTGGGCCATACCCAGCAGGTCTCGGGGATCACTCCCAGTGGGGAACAAGCCGTTGTGGGCTGGTCTATATATGCTCTGTATACACTCAAGATTCATTCCATTCTAAACAGTTGCCTCTTGACAACTAGAAGAATTTGTCTGCAAGAGTGAGTGCCTTTACATAGTTTCCACAAGGTGATACAAGTGCTTTTACTGTATTCTTTAAGAGAGGAAAAAAAAAAAGAAGAATCCATCAGCTCCGAAGAACTTGCTTCCCACGGTCCCTGTGCAATTCAAGAGGCCCTGGGATACAGAAGTCTAGGGATACAAACTGATACAAAATTGAAACTATAACCTTGCTGCGGGGTCTCCTTGCTTGAACACTATCTCCCTTGCTTGTCTCCTTCGTCGCTTGCCTTTTTCTACTCTGGAAAAGCCTGTGTTCTCGCTGAACACACACACTTCTGCCTCTCTTTCACCTCACATCTTTCTAAATAAGTTTCAGTACAAACTACCTTGAATTACCTTACACACACACACACACACACACACACACACACACACACACACACGGAGACTAGATACTGCCTGAGACTCCAAAAGGTAGTGGTAAATGTTCTTTTTTGGGGGGGTGGGGGGAAGTCAGTGGCACTAGTACAAACATTATTGAGGGAATGGTGCCCCCTGGTGTTATTTTTTAAAAGTTACTGGAGTTTAACATGTTAAACTAAAGCAGGATGGGAAATTCCACATGAAATTCTATTAAAATCAACAAATGTGGGGCTGGAACGATAGTGCCGCAGGAAGGGAGCTTACCCTGAATATGGTCAACTGGGGTTCGATCCCCGGCATCCCAGGAGTAAGCCCTGAGCACCATCGGGTGTGGAACCAAAACCAAAAATAAATAAATTTTCAAAAATCAACCAATGTGAGTGAATACTACCCACAGATAATACTGTCAGTGGGCCTTCAAAATCCAAAGAGGTATTGTCAAAACAAAACAAAAATTAAATTAGGAGCTCAGGAGATAGCTCAAAGGACCAGAGGACAAGGTCTGTAGTTTGATCTCTGGACCAGTATGACACCCTGAGCACTGGCAGGTAGCGCTTTGGTGGCCCTCGGGCATTGCCCCATCACCAGGTCCCTAGGGTACAAGAGCACCAGAAGTAATCCCCAGGGCAATCAAGCACCCTGGGAAGAGGCCCCTCTAACACAAAATAAAAACATTTTAACAGTTGAAGATGACAAAATAGTTCTTCAAAGAGTCCTTTGTTCCCAAATCTACCCTCCTGATCCCAAAGCATCCCTTTACCTCTGAGACAAAAGAAGGGGACTAAGACATGGCGTCCTGGGGCCTGAAGGCTAGTATAGCGGGGAAAGTGCTGGCCTTGCACACGACCATCCAGAGTTTGATCCCTGGCGTCCCATGTGGTCCCCCAAGCACCCAAGTCAGGACCCAAGCCTTGAGCACCACCAGGTGTAGCCCAAGACAGAAACAGCACAGAACTAAAAGCACCATCAAGATCAATTTCAGGTTTCAGATTTTCCCAGGCTCTCAAAACTCACTCCTGCAGGAATAACTTCAATTCCCCGCATTTGCTCCTCTTAATCCTCAAAATGCAGCTCAGAAATGGGGCTGGAGATATAGCATAGCCAGTAGGATGCTTGCCTGGCATGCAGGCCAACCCTGATTCAGTCCCCAGCCACCCGCTAAGCACCGCCAGGAGTGACCCTTCAGCACAGAGCCAGGAATAAACTCTGAGCGCCACTGTGTGTGGCCTGAAAACCCCAAAATGATCTAAATAAAGAAATGATCTCCTCAGATCCTCAACCAACCCGGGCTCCCCTCGAAAAGCTTTTTTTCCTTTGCTTTTTGGGTCACACCCAGCGATGCTCAGGGGTTATTCCTGGCTCTGCAGTCAGGAATCTCTCCTGGCGGTGCCTGGGGAACCATATGGGATGCCGGAGATCGAACCCAGGTCGGCCGCGTGCAAGGCAAACGCCCTACCTGCTGTGCTATCACTCTGGCCCCATGCCCTCGAAAAACTTAGCCATCGTTCATCCTTCATTTCCATCCCCTCATGAGAGCAAACTGTAGGGACGGGCATGATTCTTTGTTGTTGTATTTTGTTGTTGTTGTTAAATCTTGAGATGCTTGCTCCTTGTTTGTGATGAGCAGAGAACCATGCAGAGCTGAGAAATGAACTGGGCCAGCCACAAGCAAGTCCTTTCATTCCTATACTATCTCTCTAGCTCTGGGATAGATTTGGGGTGGGGGGGGGGGTTGTTTGTCTGTTTGCTTCCTTTTGGGGCCATACCCAGACATGCTCAGGGGTTACTCCGGGCTTTGCACTCAAGAATTACTCCTGGAGGAAAACAGGGAAACCTCATGGGATGTCGAAGATTGAACCTGGGTCTTACCCTCAATCCCATCACTCCACCCTCAGGCTAGATTCTTTCAGATCTGGATACCCAACAGTCAGGCCAGGAGAGATGCTTAGTACATAATGAGTATATAAGAACACACAGGACTGGGAGATAGGATGACAGTTAGGGTTCATGCCTGGTATGTGCCCAACCTGGGTTCAGTTCCCCATATCATCTGGTACCCTAAGCACCACCAGGTGTGACCCTAGGACTCATCAGTACCTCAGGCCCAAGCAGCGTCACATCCTTCATGGAACTGCAGGTCTGGATGACCAAGAATTGCCAGCGGAGCCGCTGAGCCTCCTGGGCACTGCTTGACAGGCTGCCCCCGCCCGAATAATAACAATAGTAAGGACATACAATAAATCACCTCAGCACAAACTGTTCCTTTGTCAAGAACAGGTTACACCATGGGCTGGAGAGACAGTACAGTGGGCAGTTGCTCGCCTTACAGTCAACGCAGGTTCAATCCCTGGCACCCCATTGGGTGCAGAGCCAGGAATAAGCCCTGAACACCAGGAGTGCTGCCCTCTACCTCCCAAAAAAGAACAGGATATATCAGTCAAAAGTCCTTGGGGCCAGAAGGTAACACAGAGGAAGAGCACATACCATGCAAATGTAAGGCCCTGGGTGAGATCCCCAGTCCAACATGGCCCCAAAACTTCCGAGTATAGCCTCAAGAATAAAGAAAAGAGGTAGAAATAATCTTTCAGGGGTGAGAACAATAGTACAACAGGTAGGGCACTTGCCTTGCATGCAGCTGACTCGGGTTCAATCCCCAGCATCCTGTAAGTCCCCTGAGTCCCACCAGGAGTGATCCTGAGCACTGGGGTGTGACCCCAAAACAAAAAAATAACAATAAGAAATAAAATAATAATGGTCCTTTGGGGGAAGGAGAAGCAGAGAGAAAGAGAGAGAGACAGAGAGACAGAGAGAGTGTGTGTATTCAAAGGACAAGAGCATATACCTGGCACATCCTGGGCCTCTAGGTTTCATCCCTGGCACTGTGTGCCCTCCCCAATGCCACCACACATAGCCCCAGTGGCCCTGAGCACCTCTAAGGAGCTACCACCAACCAGAGAAGTTGGTCTCTTGACTAAGACAGCGAGACAGGGTGCAGAGAGATTAGCATGGGGAAAGTAGGAGACGGGATGAGGGGCAGTGGGAGACTGGAATACAGGCACACAGGGAGAATGGAATAAATGGGAATAAACGGGAATAAATAGTGACCAACCAGCCCAGCCCGTTTCCTTCTTTCGTCCATCATCATCGGCCATCCGGGATGGGAAAGCGGCTCCTGACCACCGAACGCACAGAGCACACACACACAATTTTTTTTTCTTTTTGGGTCACACCCAGCGATGCTCAGGGATTATTCCTGGCTCTGCACTCAGGAATTACTCCAGGCAGTGCTCAGGGGACCACAGGGGATGTCGGGGATCGAACCCAGGTCGGCCACATGCAAGGCAAACGCCCTCCCCACTGTACTATGGCTCCGGCCCACCGCACACACTTTTTGAATACACCCACCCCCAACCAAAATATAATCATCCTTCTAGTTTTCTGTCTCATCAATGATAGTTTTCTAACTGGGAAAAAAAAAAACATTTCAAACAGACTTCTCCAAACAATAATAATGACGATGATGGGAGCAAGGAGGGTTTCATCTCAAACCCACCCTCAACCCTGCTCCTCCCCACGCTCGATGTGCACGTACCAGGGCAGGGCTCGCGACGGTGCAGCAGAAATTCCAGTAGAATGGGAGGCCGGAGAGCTCGCTCCGTACCCGCAGCACCAGCGCCTCGGCCACGCGGTCGCAGGAGAAGGTGGCTTCACTGGGGCCAGCCTGGCCCTGCAGCAACGGACGGAGCAGATCACCCAAACGGCTGAGAAAGGCGGCGGCGGGAGCCGTCAGACGCTTGTTCAGCTCCTAAACAGACAGCAATGAGTGGTGAAAGTCATTAACGGGAGATACATACACGATCACCTTTCAGTATCTGTACTGCGAACAACAATGCCCGAAAGGGAGGGAGGAGAGAGAGAGAGAGAGAGAGAGAGAGAGAGAGAGAGAGAGAGAAAGAGAGAGAGAGAGAGAGAAAGAGAGAGGGAGAGAGAGAGAGAGAGAGAGAGAGAGAAGTGTCTGCCATAGAGGCAGGCTTGGTGGGGTGATGATGGGAGGGGAACTGAGGACACTGATGCTGGGAAATGCACAATTGGTAGAGAGAAGGGTGTTGAAACAATATGACTGAAACCCAATCATGAAGGGCTTTGCAAGGATCTATCTCACAGTGATTCAATTAAAAAAAATCCTGGAAAAAAATTAAAATGAATGAAAATGGGCCCGGAGCAATAGTACAGCGGGTAGGGCGTTTGCTATGCCAACCTGCGGTTCGATCCCCAGCATCCCATATGGTCTCCCAACACCGCCAGGAGTAATTCCTGAGTGCAGAACCAGGAGTAACCTCTGAGCATGGCTGGGTGTGACCCCCCCAAAAATTCTTTTAATTTTAAAAATAATCAATTTTTTTTCACTTTGACCCACCAAGCACTGTAACACTGTATTCCTGTTGTTCATCGATTTGCTCAAGCAGGCCCAGTAATATCTCCATTCTGAGACTTGTTGTCACTGTGTTTGGCATATCGAATACATCATGGGTAGCTTGCCAGGCTCTGCCATCCAGGCAAAATACTCTCAGTAGATTGCCGGCTCTCCGAGAGGAGCAGAGGAATCGAACCTGGCTCCGCCGGGCTGACTGAGCACAAGGCAAACGCCCTATCGCTGTGCTATTGCTCCAGCCCTAAAAAAATAATCAATGAAAGTACAAAACTGCCCCCCCAAAAAAAATTAAAAGACAGCAGGGATAGGACAAAGGGAAGGGCAATGCAAGGAACCACGCACCACAAACTCAGAGCCAGCATGTGGGGGAGGGACGGGGACCGGGACAGAGAGGCAGGGGGTGGGGGCAGGAGCACCCACACCCACGCCGCTCTCACTCACCTTGGCTCGCTGACTGACCACACTGGCATCCACCTGTTCGTGCCACACCTGCTGAAGATCCCAGAGCAGCAAGGCATAGCCCTGCTGGGTGATGCAGGCCTTGGCCAGGAGGGAATTCTCGGCGATCTGCAGCCAGGCCCAAGGTTGCACCAACAGCCTGTGGTCCAGCTCCTCCATCTGCCAGAAAGTCTCTGCTCAGCCCAGAGCCCAGGGTCCTGGGGGCTCCGGGGTACCACACCCTTTCTCCTACAAAGAAGACCTGGGGAGGGGGAACCCCTTCTCCAGATTGAACAGGAGGCCCGCCCACCCCGCAGAGTCAGCCAAGCCAGCTCACTCATTTGTCACAGCTTCTGAAAAGAAGGAAGAGTTCCTGCTTATGGAGCAGTGTAAGTCTTCAGTACTGAGGGCAGGAAATTCCAGTTTTTTTATCACTATCTGAAAACAAAACTGGAAGCTCTCAGAATTTCAAACACATATGTACATACAGTCCCTAAACATATAAAGACATTCACTAAATGTTTATACAGTCACATATTTAAATAGTTATAAACTCATTCTATATTCCCTAAAACAGGGATTCTTCCTCGCGCTCTCTCTCTCTCTCCCCGTGTGTGTGTGTGTGTGTGTGTGTTACCAGAAATCTAACTCAGGGCCTCACACACACATGACACGTGTTCTACCACTGAGCAGCATCTCTGGCCCCAGGGATCCTTAATCTATTCTCCAGCATATGAATCTTTGGGAATTCTATGTAAGATTTTTACATAAGGATGAATTAAAAAACTGGGGGGAAGAGTCCATAATTATAAAAATTATCAAATTCTTAGAAGATTCGATGAACACACACACACGCACACAAACCCACTAAAAAGCTGTGTATGGAGCAAAGAGAAAAGCCACCAAATGCATTTGTAATGGCTCTTGAATTGCATCCAAGGGCTCAAGTGGCCAGTCATGACACCACACCCGGCATATCACAGAGGCAGGTGCTAAATTCACTTAACTTCATCACCACATCCTCACCCAGGCACCCCTGCCTGCACTCCTGGGAATTCAACATTTCTATTCAAACAGATACTCAGTGGCCCAATTCTGGCCAGTGATAGGAGTTTCAATCACTTTTACTGTGGGTTAGTGGCTGGAACGATAGCACAGAGTGGCTGGAGCGGTAGCACAGCAGTAGGGCATTTGCCTTGCCCGAAGCCAGCCTGGCCGAGCCGGGTTCGATTCCTCTGCCCCTCTCGGAGAGCCCGGCAAGCTACTGAGAGTATCTCACCTGCATGGTAAAGCCTGGCAAGCTACCCGTGATGTATTCAATATGCCAAACACAGTAACAAGAAGTCTCAAAATAGAGATGTTACTGAGCAAATCAATAAACAACGGGAGGACCATGTTTGTTTGTTTGCTATCTACTGTGGGTTTAAAAGAAGGGGCCCTGAGGGTCGGCCACCCTTGGTGGTGGCTCTGGGTAGAACACACATGTGTATGAATTGCCGGGTTAAAACACCCCCCCCATCCCCAATACACACGCATGCGTGAGAGAAAAAGGGGGTAGGGTAGAGGATCTTAGAGTATAAAGAAAACCAGGGCCCTGGGGGGCTACCTCAGGATCTCAGCACACCTGCCCCGCAAGCATGAGGTGGTGAGTTCAATACCAAGGCTGCCTCATGCACCTGTCATATTTAGGGAGCTCTGCTGTTTGAGCCAAGAAGCGTTTCCTTCTGGCAGTTCTATCTCTTGACCTCCCTCACGCCCTCATTTATCATTTGGTGAGGGGTTTGGGGGCACTACATCCAGTTGTGCTCAGGAATCATTCCTGCCAGTAACCGTATCAGTTGAATCATATGTGGTGCTGGTGACCAAACCCGGGTCGGCCGCAATAGCTCACTGTACTATCGCCCCATTTGTCATTTGGGGTGGGGGGGGTGTTCTGTTCTGGGACCACACCCAGCGATGCTGAGGGCTTACACCTGGCTCTGTACTCAGGAATCAATCCTAGTGGTGCTCGGGGGACCATATGGGATGCCTTTTATGGAAGCAGGGTCGGCCACGGGCAAGCATACGAGCGCCTTTAACCCATTGCACTATGGCCCCGACCCCCAAATGTCATTTTTGAAGGATCCCGGGTGTAACAAGAGGCCCTGCCTCTCAGAAGCGGGTCATTCTCACGCAGTTCCTCCGCTGTCCTGCAGAGGGCAGCATGGCCGCAGGGACCCGCGGTGAGCCACGCCCCATCCCTCTGATTGGACGAACCCGCTGGGCGTCCACAAACGCCCCCAAGTCATCCACATCCGGCTGTCAGGGGCTTTGGCCTTTGATGTCCACAGCACCGGCTGCACTTAACGCGCGTGCCGAGACTCTTCCAAGGGTCACGCAGCCGGCGACGGCCCCCTGCACGCTCTTAGCCGCCCACCCCGACAGCGGCTTCGGAAGCTCGCAAACCCCGCCTCGCCGCCGACGGAGACAGACTGCGCACGCGCCACCCCGCCCACTCCCAGAGCCCAGTTCCGGTGTAGCGGCCGGGCGCCGGGGTCCTTAAGGGAGGGTTGTCCGCGCTCGCTTCAGCTCGCGAGGGCCGCGTAACCCCCCCCCCCCACTTCGCCCAGCCCGGCCCAGGGGCGCCCCGGATCTCCCACTTACCATGAGCGGCTGCGAGAGCTCCCCACCTTCCCGTGTTGGCCAGCCCGCCCGCGCAAACGAAAGGCCTAGAAGTAGATTCCCCACCCCCAATCGGCACCCCGGGGGAGGCGGAGTTTGGGGCCGCGGGGCGGAGCCAGGTCGCAGGGGCGGGGCCAGGCCAGGGGGCGGGGCTTCTGGACCCCTAGACTGCGGTGTTAGAAGCATCGCTCCCAGGTGGAGGGAAGCTGCAGCAGTTCCCTAGAGATGGTGAATCTCCTCCAAGTCCCGCTGGTCAAGTAGAATAGCATGACCTACAAGATGCTCGTCACTAAACTTAACTTTTCCCTCCTCCGAGTCCCGCTGGTCAAATAGAATAGCATGACTTACAAGGTGCTCGTCTCTAAACTTACTTTCTCCTCTGTCTATCCAGCTGTTTTTTGGGTTTGGTTTTTTTTTTTTTTTTTTTCAGTAAAATGAAAGGATTTGAACGGTACTAGAGAATGTTTTTGTTGTTGTTGTTTTTGCTTTTGGGGTCACACCCGGCGATGCACAGGGGTTACTCCTGGCTTTACACTCAGGAATTACTCCTGGCGGTGCTCAGGGCACCCATATGGGATGCTGGGGAATCAAACCCGGGTCAGCTGCATGCAAGGCAAACGCCCTACCCGCTGTACCATAGTTCCAGCCTCTAGAGAATGTTTTTAAGATGGGACCAGAGCGATAGAACAGCGGCTCGGGAACCTGCCAACCCAGGTTCGATCCCAGCATCCCATAGGGTTCCGTTCCACCCACACACACCAGGAATGATCCCTGAGCCCAGAGCCAGGAGCAAGTGCGGAGCACTGCCTGGGTGTGACTCAAAAACAAAACAAAAAGAATATTTTACATTCCTTCCTCCTCCTTATCGCCTTTCTCCCAACTTCCAGCCTCCTTTGGGCTCCCTCCAGCACCAAGCCAGGGCCAGCTGGGGAGCTGCTGCCTCCCTGCAGCTTGGCACACTCCAGAACCAGAATTCATTCTTTCTTGTGCTCGCTTGGCAGCGCATACACTAAAATTAGAACGATCCAGAATTCATTCCTTTTTTTCCCCCCTTTGTTCCCACAGCGGGTGTTTTCAGTCTTCAGGACAGACCACCTTCTGCTTTGAATTCCAACTAGTCATTTTCGAAGTCTTGGGGGCAGGACCCCAATCTTATGCAGATGAGTAGCTCCAGGACCTCGCAAATAGGATGCACTTGATAAATATTTATTAGGCGAATGCTGGGATTTCCATGTTGCTAATAGTTCACATACCAAGTCTCATTCATTCAGTCACCTGCTCTGCACTTCCTAACAGAGCCAGGAACGCAATCCGTCTGTCAGGAAATGGGACTTTCTTTCATATCTCTCTCTCTCTCTCACACACACACACACACACACACACACACACACACACACACATTCTCCCTAAATGAAGGTAGAGCCTGGGAGCTGACCCCCGCTCAGCAACCCAGAAGTAGGAGTCCTGGGCATTCCTAAGACCTAAATTCTCTGCATGCTCCAGGACGCTGCTCTCCCAGACCAGTGAGCAGGTTGGCCCTCTCGCCTGGCTCCGAGGACCTGCTGTCCTTAGCCCCAGAGTTCTCAGGCTGTGGGCAGAGGCAGCGGAGAGGCTGGGGGAGGCAGGGACACAGGTTTAGGAGGGGGAAAGGAAGCTCATATTCTGCCTCAGCCTTGTCGCTGGCCTTCTGAGACCACCCGGGCTCCTGGGCATCTCCGGCCAATGGCAGCTCTTGGACTAAGCCACGCTCCAGCTGGGTGCCTGTAAGAGAAGTCGGTCGGGCTGCCAGCCAAGCAGAGAAGGGTGACTTTCTGGTCATTCCCCAGCCTCCACTTACCAGGAACTGTATTCTCCAGGAGGAATGCCAAGACGCCAGCCAGGAAGATGGGTTGTGTGAGCAGTGAGGATAGGAAGACATCCAGGGGATTCCAGCCTGGGGGAGGGTGGGGACAATTGGGAAAGGGCCACCAACCCAGGCAAGGCCAAGGAGTCGCCTCTCTAGACCTAAGCCTGCATCACCGAGTAAGACAGATCACTCTGAATTGTTCTCTCCCTTCTTCACCCACCTCTCAACACCTTTGTCCCTCGCTCTCCCTTCCTGCACCCAGGCCTGCCTCAGTAGCCCATCTACTAAGCCACCTGCCTTCTTCCAGGTCCACAGGTCCAGACTCCTCATAGTTGGACTTTTTTTTTTTTTGGTTTTTTGGGTCACACCTGGCGATGCACAGGGGTTACTCCTGGCTCTGCACTCAGGAGTCACTCCTGGCGGTGGTCAGGGGACCATATGGGATGCTGGGAATCAAACCTGGGTTGGCCACATGCAAGGCAAACGCCCTACCCACTGTGCTATTGCTCCAGCCCCCTCCTCATAGTTGGACTTTAAATGCCCCAACCATTGCATTATTTTGTTTTGTTGTAGGGAGGAAGATGCACCCATCTGTGCTTCAGGGCTTACCCCTGGCTCTGCTCGGGGATTATTCCTGGTGGTGCTTGAGGACTCATATGAGGTGCTGGAAATCAAACCATGAGCCTAGCATGTGAGGCTAGCGCCTTAACCCCTGTCCTGTCTCTCCAGCTCCTAAAGGCCCCTACCTTATTTCCTGCATCCCGCCTTCTGTGCTCTGGCCTGGGCCTCCCAACCTCAGCACTACTGACATTTGAAGCAAATCATTCTTTGTTGGGCATGAGAACATGAATATATGTCAGCATGTCTCTACCCATTAAATGCTGCTAGCAATCTCTTCTCCCCACCACAGCCACAATCTCTTCTCCTCAGCACAACCCAGGAAGTCTCCAGACATTGCCAGGTCTCCTGTGGATGTCCAGTGGAGAATCACGGCTGCCAATCTGCACTGATAAGTGCAGCCATTTAAGTCTGCCAAGCTCTGGGCCCAGAGAGCTAATACAGCAGGTAAGGGGTTTGCTTTGCCTGCGGCTGACCTGGGTTCAATCCCTATCACCCCTATGGTCCTCCAAGCCCACCAGGAGTGATCCCTGACTCAGAACCAGGAATAAGCCCTGAGCATCACTGGGTATGTCTCACACCCCAAAAATTTTTTTTAAAAATTAAGAGATGTTTTAAAAAAATAAATCTGCCAAATTTCAATCCCAGCTCATTGTTCCTTTCTCCATGAAACTAGTCTATCATCTCAAATGGAAGCCAGCGCATCCCACACTTCTCCCTCTCTCCCTCCATCTCTCTCTCCCCCTCTCCCTCTCTCCCTCCCTCTCTCCTCTCTCTCCTCTCCATTCCTCTCTCCCTCTCTCCCCTCTCCCTCTCTCTCCCTTGCCCTCTCCCTTTATCTCTCCCTCTCTCTCTCCCCCTCTCTCCCTCTCCCTGTCTCTCCTCTCTCCCTCTCTCCCGCTGTTTCCTCTCTCCCTCCCTCTCTCCCCTCTCTCTCCCCCTCTCCTCTCTCTCTCCTCTCTCTCCTCTCTCTCCCTCTCTCCTCTCTCCTCTCTCCCTCCCTCTCTCCCCTCTCTCTCCCTCTCTTCTCTCTCTGTCCTTCTTTCTTCTCTCTTCCTCTTCTCCCTCTCTCTCTCCTCTCTCCCTCTCTTTCTCTCCTCTCTCTCCCTCTCTCCTCTCTCTCTCCCTCTCTCTTCTCTCTCTCCCTCTCTCCTCTCTCTCCCTCTCTCTCTCTTCTCTCTCTGTCTCTCTTTCTCTCATTCTGTGACTGCACTGTAACACCTGGCAACACCCTTGGATCCCAGCGTGAGCTGCATGCAATGCAACACATACTCACTACACAAGTGAGAGTCAGAGACAGCTCAACATACTAGAGCACCTGCTTTGCATGCAAGAAGTCTGGGATCTATCCCCAGCACCTCATGCCCCCCCCACCACTTCCAGGTGCAACCCCTGAGCTCAGAGTCTCCCCAGAACACCCCTGGGTGCAACAGCCCAAACCAAACTAAATAAGCACATGGATGGCGGAATAACCCCGAAGCCCAGAGTTGCTCAGAGCCTGAAGCCCAGCTCCCTTGGCTCCTCCCACCTGTGCTCAGTGCCACGGGGGCTTCCCGGAGCCAGCGGGGCAGCAGCAGGGCCATGAAGATGGAGAAGCCGACGATGAAGACATTCCGGCCGGAGTCAATGTCAGTCAGGTAGAAGATGGAGAAACCAGCTGACAGCACCACAGCCTGGGTCACGCCCAGCACCCCACCTGCCCCGGGAGGGAACAGCAGACAGCAGGAGAGTGCTGGAGTGGCAGGGACACTCAACAGCAGGTACTGGATTCTGCAGGTACTGGGTTCTGATTCAGACAGGACCCCGGAGCACAGCGGGGAGGGCATTTGCCTTGCACACGGCCGGCCGAGAGGGGTTGATCCCCGGCATCCCATATGGTGCCCTGAGCACCACCAGGAGTAACAACTGAGCCTCACTGGCTGCGTCCCCTCCCCCCTCCCCAAAGAACCTGATTTGGCCAGAAGTTAGGTAAGAGGTCATCAGGAGGGCAGTGCTGGGTGGGGGGGCATGGTGGGGTACCTCAAAGGGCTGAGCAGAGGCACTGTATGCAGGAGGCTGGGTGTGATCCCCAGCGCCATGTTTTCTGAACACCACCACCAAGAGCAATCCCTGAGTGCCACTGGGGGTAACCCCCCTGGCCCCCGACTCTGTCCTGAATACCACCAGAAGTGACCTCCGCTGAGCATGACCATGTGTGGCCCAAAACGGAGCAACAGGCCACGTGGCTGAACTAGAAGTGAGGCCCTTGGCTACTCAGCCCTAGCCACGTGCCAGGGAGGCCACTGGCCACCCGTGGGGCGCGCTGCCAACAGGTGCACTCACCGAGCACGGGCAGCGGGATGGTGGCCAGGAACTGGGCCAGCCGCGGGGAGAGCCCGAGGCCCATGGACAGCAGCCCCACCACGTAGACCATGCGCTGAGACCCATCCTGCAGGGAGAACACACGGGAAGTCACTCAGGCTGCCTCTGGGTTCCGCGTCTCCCCATCAGGGGATCCCTACTCAGAGGGTCCTTCTAGAAGCATCCCCAGGGTACCCACCAACAGGATAACAGGATCTCTTTCATTCACCTGATCTCCTACTGCCCTGATTTTTTTTCTCTATTT